GCACGTTTGGCTGCTGTGGTGGTGTTCTTGTTTCTGTTTGTGTGTGTTGTTTTGTGTGCAGGTGTGAAGGAGAGCGCTCGGCTGCCAGTCTTCTGTAAACTAATCCTGAGTGTCGGAAACTTTCTCAACTATGTGAGAATCTTGTTTTCTTTTACTCCTTGTAATCTGATTACTTTGTGTGGCATGCTCAGTGACGGTCCTAAAGCAGTTCTCTTCCCGAAGACTCAAACCACACAAACAAACTCAAACACAAACTCTGACCAGTGTTGGGGTCGTTACTCAGAAAAAGTAATCTATTACACATCACTTGTTGCTTTGCAGTCTGCCATATGCCCGTCCAACCTGAAGCAGCGTTACATGATCATCAGTGACCAGTGTAGACCTGAGACTACATTTACACGTGCAGCGCTGTGAAGCACATTTGTTTCCACTGCTGCACCGCACAGTAATAGTTTCCCGCTGCGCCAAGTACAGTGCAGCACGTCAGTGAGGAGTACTCGGCATGTGCGCTGTGTCACACGACCAATAGAATCGAAGACTACCACTGCACTAAATTCCATCACACGATGAAGGAAAACATTCGTATCAGTGCGTATCAGAGTTCTGTGAACTTTTTCACACAGGTTTATGTGCATGTATGGGGACCTCTAGAGCCTCTTAACAGCTCTGGGGACGACACACTCTTCACTAGTCTGGATAGTTGAAAGCGTTCATCTATATGAATGAGCGATTTTTTTATTTATTTATTTTTTTTAATTAAAAATTTGAACACAATTCAACACAAACTCTTGTGAAGGACACAAAGTCAGAGAGATATAGGTTTAATACAGACTCGTAGAGTGGTAACAAAAAAAAGACTTCCAAGCAGAGCGCATCGGCCAGCACAACACAGAGTTTGGGTCCTTTATGCTAAGCGAGACAGGTGGAGAACAAGCTAGCGGTCAGTGTGCCGCATCCTATGTGAAAGGGCCTTAAGTTCTTGGCTAGCTTAGCATTAACATGTTGTCTGTGCAGATGTTAGCAGTATAATGCAGCTGTTTATGTCCTGGATGCTGGTTCCACTGCACCATGATGCTTGTCCTTTCGTGCAAGAAAAATAAGTCATGTCCGTGTCTCTGCTGTGGAGTGGGCTGCTAGCAACTGCTGGACTTCACATCAGCTAACTTGAGCAACTGATTAAGTTTTTATGAAGTTATCTAAGCAGTAATATCACAGCTGTGAGGTTGATTGCACTAACAGTTCATCCGAGGAGTGTTTTGTTTTGTTTTTTTGTTTTTGTTTGTTTGCACATTCAGGCAGGTGTGACTCAGCACCAACTATTAGCTCAGCACAAATCTACCAACAGAGACTGTCTACCAAGACAGTTCATTTAGTTGCCAAATCATAAATCAGTCTGTTATTTAGCTGAAATAAAATCTAAAGGCTGGTAGTCTGATTTTGTCATGTGATGTATGGTCCATCAGGGAACTCACACAGGGAATGCTGAAGGCTTTAAGATCAGCACTCTGCTCAAACTGACCGAAACCAAAGCCAACAAGTCGAGAGTCACGCTGCTGCACCACATCCTGCAGGTAATGCTGGGAATACTACGAATACTGGGGAATACTGCAGTATTCTCATAATATTTCAGTTGCTGCTGTTTGTGACCCTTAGGAGGCTGAAGAGAATCACCCCGACCTGCTCAACCTGCCCGATGAACTGGAGATCTGTGCAAAGGCTGCTGGGTAAACACATATAAGAGTTCAGTCACGTACAGACTGCTGGGCGGAGTCTGTGACATGGTAGCTCAGGTGTTTCGCCTGCAGCGGTGTTAAATGTTGCCCTCTGACTCCACCTGCAGGCTCAGCTTGGACTCTATTCAGTCTGAAACAAACACTCTAAACAAACGGCTGAAAAACTCAGAGAGGAGCGTTTCCTCCTCATCTGACATGAAGGAGCAGTACCTGTCCACCGTACAGGTGAGTCACTCGGGATGAGGCTGTCACCTTTACGGGCAGATAAATCCAGTCTGTGCACTAACTGACACCGTTTTAGTGGGACAGACCTGCTCTTCCAGGTGAACTTACCTGTTGTTCTTATGTGGTGTTACCAGGAGAGCCTGCAGGCTGTTGAGCAGCTGCAACTCCTGCTGTCATCTGTGGAGGAGCAGAGGAAGCACCTGTCCGCCTACCTCTGTGAGGACAGCAGCAGCTTCTCTCTCGAAGAGCTCTTCAGCACCATCAAGACATTCAGAGACCTCTTCCTTCGAACCCTTAAGGTCAGCGGCCAATCGCAGTGCGGCTCAGTCTGCAGGACTCATACCCTTTAGTCCTGTTTCCCTGTAAATGTTAAGCTCCGCCCTCTCTGGGGGGCCGGTTAGCCTGTTGAAGTTTGAACTGTGTGTTCCTTTTATTCTTCCATCAGGAGAACGAAGGTCACAGGGAGCAGAAGAAGAGGTTGGAGGAAGGGAGGAAACTGAGAGAAGAAGCCCCCACCAGAAAGATCAGTAAGTCAGACACCATCATTTCACCTTAAATCCTCCCTCCTTAAGGTGTCCCTCACCTGTCTCTCCAGGTGTGGCAGGTGAAGGACAGGTCAAGTACAAGTGGAGGGCAAGTGGAGAACAGGTGAGACATGTGAAGGGCCGGTGACGGACAGGTCGAGAATCAATAGCTGACATCAGCAACATTTCTCTGCAACAGTTTATCAGCAGCTGAATATTTAAAGGAAATGATGTGACAGCATCAGGACGAGAAGGAAGTTTGTAAAGATTAAATGCTGCTGTACCTATGAGGCTGTCAGGTGACGCAGTGACAGCTTTCACCTGTTGTTTGTGACATGTGCGCTAAGCTCACAGGGGAACGTGTTTCTGTGCTGCAGTTAGGACGGACATGGCCAATTGGGACGAAGGATGCATCGTCGACAACCTGCTGGCCGAGATCAGGAAGGGCTGCAGGCTGAGGAAGACAAGGCCACGGGCAGAGCCGGACGGTGGGGTCGAAGGTGAGAGCCCGGCAGGACTTCTGCAGACTTTCTTGTCACCACTGCTCGTTTGACCCAAGTTCTCCTTTTCAGGTCACCCCGGGGTCAGGCAGATGTCAGCGGCCCAAGACAAGCCAGATTTGCCCGAGAAGCCTCGGGAGGAGGTCCGGACTCCCACACATCCACCTGCTGGAACCAGACCAGAACCAGAGCCAGACAGAGCTGCCTCAGAGCTCCAGGCCCTCGGTGAACCCCCTGCAGCTGAGGTCCAGGGTCCGGAGTCTGAAGTGGACACCGGACCGGCGCAGCAGGAAGTCCAGCACGCAGCTAGTCAGCAGGATGTGACCCAGGTCAACAGGAGCAAAGATCCTAACCCGGAAGATTCTGCTCCCCAGAACGCATCGAACACCTTAGACACCAGCCCGGCAGGTAGAGTGAGGCGCTGTGCTCTCTGCTTCAGGCTTTGAGCACGCTCAGTGCTGCTGTTTGTTTCTGAAACATGGAAATTTTAATGCTTCCTGTCCCACAGCCCACCCACACAGATCAAG